GTGTGTGTGTGTGTGTGTGTGTGTGTACATGTATATATATAATTCATATACATTGTCGTGCGTACGTGCTATTGTGCCTGTGTAGGTAATCAACACCCTAAACCCCTAAAACCCTAAAACTTTTGACACCTCGTCTGCACATCTGGCATTTTGTGTATGCGCCAGTCCCAGGCTACCTGTGTAAGCTATCGGTTGAGTTTTTCATGTGGGGTTGTAAAGGTTTAGGGTTTAAATTTTAGAGTTTAAGCTCTGAGCTACGATGTATATGCCTGGATTCATCTACCGCCTACCGCCCACTTGAGCCACCTGAACTACCTGAGCTCTAAAACCCCAAAACCCTAAAACCCCAAAACCCCAAAACCCTATACAGAGACCACACCCAGTGAAGACGCACTGTCAGGCAGCGCTGGCAAACCGGGATGGCGGGTAAGTGAATGGCTGTGTCAATGGAGAAGGGATTGTGAATAACAATCCCAAATATACACACATTTGTACACTCTATTTAACACGAGCATGTATACTATATATTACACACACGTGTACACTATATATTACACACACATATACAATATACACAACACACACATGTACACTATATATTTGACACACATGTACACTATATATTACACCCACATATACAGTATACTTAACACACGCATGTACACTATATAATACACACACATGTACACTATATATTACACACACATGTACACTATATACTACACAAACATGTACACTATATATTACACACACATGTACACTATTTAACACACACATGTACATTATATGTTACACACACATGCACACTATATATCACACACACATAAGCACTCTATTTAACACACACATGTACATTATATGTTACACACATGTGCACTATATATTACACACACATGTACACTATATATTGTACACTCATGTACACTATATACTACACACACATGTACACTATATATTACACACACATGTACACTATATATAATACTTCTCATTTACACTCTATCTAACGCACGTATCCACACCCCCTTGCAGTGGACTGTTGAGCATGTGCTCTTCCCTGCCATAAAGCGTCACTTGCAGCCGCACGCGTCGTACAATGACGACGGCACGTTGGTGGTGTTAGCTGATCTGCCTGAGCTGTACAAAGTGTTTGAGCGCTGCTAGCGGGTGCAAATGGTTAGAAATCGGTATGTGTATCATATGTACACGCCTGTGTGTAGCTGGGTATATAGAGCATACGTACATGCCTGTGTGGCCCAAAACCATGGATGGTTACGAATAAACTCCTATTGTATTTACACGCACAGTAGTCGACCACGTCTAATCTGTTGTACCGATATATTCAGCGATAGCGCATGCGTTAAGGGGTTTGCTAGGACATACATCTGTTCTCGTGTGACAGGCCCATCGGTGCTCCCATACACACACTGATACTATCTCAGACCAAACCCCTATATAAACTCAAGTAAAACCTAACCCCTATATAAAAAGTGAAACCGAACCCCTTTATAAAAAGTAAAACCGAACCCCTATATAAAAAGTAAACTCAACCCCCTATATAAACTTAAGTAAAACCTAACCCTTATATAAACTTAAGTAGAACCAAACCTCTATACAAACTTATGTATAACCTAAGCCCTATATATACTTAAGTAGATCCAAACCTCTGTATAAACTTGAGTAAAACCTAACCCCTATATAAACTTAAGTATAACCAAATCCCTATATAAACTTAAGTAAAACCAAATCATTATATAAACTTAAGTAAAACCGTACCCCAATATGAACTTAAGTAGAACCAAACCGCTATATAAACTTAGGTGCATGAGATATAGACATCACCCACTCCAGCTATCGCACTCCACATACTGGTGTTTCCGTCTGCTGAATATCTGCCTCCTGATTTGTTCTACTTCTCACAGACAGGTGTGCGTGTGCACGTGGTCGTGGCCACTCCAGTTGTAGGCTGTGTCATCTCTATACGCAACCATCGCTCACTCACGTGAAAGGTAGCTTCGCTGCTATTGAAGATATGTGTTGCTTCGTTATAGCTTCTGCGGTGGTAGTAGACAATTAACGAGGAAACGTACTCTTCGATGTATGGTTGGGCAGTGCTGTCTCTATACGCAATCAGTACTCGCTTATGGATGAATTACTTCACGTCACTGCTATTGACGATAGCCGTTACTTTGGTGCGCTACGGTGGTAATAGACAATTAAAGAAGCACACTCTTCAGTTTATGGCTTGGCTGGTACCGAGTCTATCGGTGATCTGCCTCACCAGAGCTACTACAGTCCACTGTTAACTACCATGGCGTAGGTCTGCAACGGTCGTGCGATGGTAGTAGACAATTAAAGAGGAAGCACACTCTCCGTTGTATGGCTTGTATTGTATCAATCGAGAACCAGGGTATCCCCAGAGCTACCAAAGTACAATCTTCACTGCAATGGCTTAGGTCTGCAACGGTCATACGATGGTAGTAGACAATTATTAAAGAAAAAGTACACTCTCAGTTGTATGGCTTGTAATGTTTCAAATAGGAATCAGGGTATCCCCAAAGCTACCAAAGTATAATCTTCACTGTAATGGCTAATGTCTGCAACGGTCGTGCGATGGTAGTAGACAATTAAAGAGTAAGCACACTCTCCGTTGTATGGCTTGCATTGTTTCAATTAAGAACCAGGGTTCCCCAAGGCTACCGAAGTCCACTGTTAACTGCCATGGCGTAGGTGTGCAAAGGTCATACGATGGTAATAGACAATCAAAGAGAAGTAACACTATCCGTTGCATGACTTGCAATGTTTCGATTAGTACTCGGAGTCTCTCCATTGTTAGCAAAGTCCACTGTTAACTGCCATGGCGTAGGTGTGCAACGGTCATACGATGGTAATAGACAATTAAAGAGGAAGAACACTCCCCGTTGCATTACTTGCAATGTTTCGATTAGTTTTCAGAGTCTCCCCATTGTTAACAACGTCCACCGTTAACTGTGATGGCGTTTATTTAGAGTGGAAGTAGACAATTAGAGCGAATTTGCCTGGGACATAGGAACTTCCTTTTCTAGTGATGACGGTGTAGGTCTGGGACGACTCTGTGGTGGGGACGGACAATTAAAGAGGTGTAGGATGTCTGGCGGGCCAGCCTAAAGAAAACCAGCACTGGTGGTGCACTCGGGGAGGAGCCATGTGAAAGAAACTATGATGTGCTTAATCGACATCCATGCGATGTAATAAACAACCTCAGGAGGCTTTGAATTGTTGGGAGTAGTTATAGGGTACACAATGTATGATGTTATGGGTCCAGGTTTTAGGGTTTCAACCCCCCATAAACCCCCTAAAAACTCTAAAACCCTACAGGGTATTGGACAGTTGGAGCAATATACTAGATTACTTTCGTATGGACTCAGTCACCATGTCGTATGGGGTGATTGTAGACAGTGACAAACAGTACCAAATGTGTGAGGCCAAAACCACTGCGTGAGAAATTTTAGCGCTGGTATGCAATACATACTCGAAACGTTTGAAACGTTCGATTCTCCGCACACGCCAATATACACATACGTGTATAGTGTGTACGTGCATGAACCATATATTGTAGGTGAATCATATAGATGCATGGGTATAAATGGTACCTAGTTTCAGGACTAAGGGTTCGGATTTACTTTCATAAAGCTCATATGCATTATATATATATCCCTGTCGTTTGTACATATATAAATTTTATGATGTATGAACACCATAGGTATACGTGTATGATTTTATAGCTCAGCCATTAAGCTCAAATAAATTGTCGACAAAGCTCTAAAATTTGCACAATATAGACTATATGCTGTTTGTTTTATGGCTGTTTTCCGGTTTAAAAGTTTTTATCTGCCACCATTAAACTCGTGTCTATCATGTACTTGTCTATTTAATACTATTGTTTCACATACAAAAGCCATTCAATGTATGTATACCATCAGACCTAATACTTTTATCTGCCACGATTGCGCATAAAGCACGTTGTCATGGTATCCTATTGTGCACATCCACTCAAGAACAGCAATAGAGCAACAAATACACAATACTACACACTTTTCCTCGCGCTGGCTGGGTTTAATAGATCACAGACGTCTATATGTCGGAATGAAAACATTCCAATCAGCGCTTGGACTGTTGGAATACATGTCTACCAGTCATCTTTCTTATAGGAGCTTTATGGGATGGTTGATGTAAAAGCCTTATTGGCACGATAATATTTTATCTGTTTGATGCTTGGTCTCGCACACCTTCACGACACGTATGTGCGCCCTCTGTATTTCTATCTGTTAGGAACTGTTGGGTGCTTCAAGACTAGCCCACCTTGCCCACAGCGTACGCTGTCTATTTTAATTGGATGGCACTCACTCAACACACGTATGTAATTCCCACAGAGTAATCTAACTGTTTTTTGCGGTTCGGTACTTTGTCATAGATTTCCTACAGGACACACACGTAGTACCCAAAGCATAACATGTCTATTTTTAGCTGCTAAATACTCGATCTACTATCCCTTCACCACACGCACGCTAAAACACAGCCACGTACTACCCACAGCGTAACCTTTCTATCCCTAGCTGTCAAGTGCTTGGTCTACTATCCCGTGAACACACGCACGTACTACCCACAGCGTAACCTTTCTATCCCTAGCTGTTAAGTGCTTGGTCTACTATCACGTCAACACACGCACGTAGTACCCAAAGCATAACCTGTTTATTTTTAACTGCTAAATACTCAGTCTACTATCCCTTCGCCACACGCACGCTAAAGCACAAACACGTACTACCCACAGCGTAACCTTTCTATCTCTAGCTGTCAAGTGCTTGGTCTACTATTCCGTGAACACACGCACGTACTACCCACAGCGTAACCTTTCTATCCCTAGCTGTTAAGTGCTTGGTCTACTATCTCGTCAACACACGCACGTAGTACCCAAAGCATAACCTGTCTTTTTTTAGCTGCT